TTGGTTGCTACGGTCAGTAAATAATACTATAAAATAATTAATCACAATTCAATTCGAATTAATCAACAATATCATTAACTTTCATTTATTCGATCAATACAATCAATATTTATAGCAATCGATCGATCAGTCGAAATTCAGTTAGATAACTCAGATATATATTATTATATATATACTACCGTAGCGTATATATATATATATATTATATATATTATTATATATATATAGTTGAAAGAGACGGGGGAGAGATAGATAGCAGTAGATTAGGATAGGATAGATAGATTAGATAGATGTAGATAGATAGATAGATTTAGATAGATAGATAGTAGACATTTAGATAGGGCATAAATAGATAAATAGATAGTTTTTTTTTTCGATCGATAGCTATATAGATAAATTGATTATAATAGATTAGATTAGCATAGATGGATACGGCCGGGTGGTGGGGTGTCGCCCCCCCCCCCCCCCCCCCATTTTTGCGGGGTTTAGGGTTTGCTCCACCTAATGCGGGAAATGATGCGGCAAAAAGATTGGCTCGACAGCTGAAAACATGGGGGAGACAAAGATTGGCACGGGAAATAATTTGGGGCAAAACAAGATGGCAAGAGAAAAATTTGGGGGCCAAAATGATGGTTTCGCAAGGTGTGGAAAAGGATGGGCATTAGAAGATGACTTGAGGAACGAAAAAATGGCCTGGCCATAATGGGCGATAGTATATGATATATAATATTATGCTCACATGCAGAGTACCCCCCCCCCCCCACACACACACATCACATACAGGTGAGCCCACATGGTAACTGCGGCTTGGATAACGAAGCTATTCACCTGGCACAGCGATCCTTATGCTGCATGAACCTACTGATGTAGGTGCCGCTGTGCAGCAGCCAACGTCGAGTGAGCCGAGCCTGCGCTAGCTCCAGGAGGATGAGCGGTTGAGACTGCCGGACACACCGAGCATCGTATGCAAACGAGGCTTAGGACTGTGTCTCAGCCTCATAAGCTACCGCAACTGCAGAGATCAGTTGGATAACCTCCAATATATTTATTATATATATATATATATATGTATATATTATATATATATAGAGAGAGGAGAGAGGAGCGGAGAGACGACGAGAGAGGAGAGAGGAG